TTCCCGGCATCCCGGGAGCGCACACGCACACAAAAAGCCCAAGCCCAAACCCCCGGCAAGCCCGAACCCCCCGAGGTGCTCGGCACCGCCGCCTCCCCGACGGGCTGGGAAATAGGTGGCCCGGCCGCCGTGCAGTTTTTCTGACGACGGCCCTACGGTCTTTGTTAAAGTAATAATATATGTACTCTAAGCGTCCCCTTTTCATGGTAATCGCAGCTTATTTGGGTATTTGTTTAGCTTAAGCAGCGCGCTGCTGACAATGGACGATTTGCCCTAGCTTGCATAGTTTAGAAAATCGCACCTCGATCTATGCATATCTGAGCGTCACCTACGACCATCACTAAAAGGCTTTCGTGTTTGACTTCCAGTCTGTAAGACCTGTATCGTGCGTTACTTGGAGACCAGCAAGTATTGTCCCATCTGTGATGTCCAAGTTCACAAAACTCGACCGCTTTTGAATATAAGGTAGGAGAAGGATGCGATGCGCGCCCTGCATCTCTTATTTCACTTTATATGGGGAGACCAGCAGTAGTCGTGCTGATGTTATCTCTTCGTCTGCGATTTAAATCTGAAAGGACTTGTCAATTTACAGGCTAACTCGTGTGTATGCTCCCTCTTTGGAGTTTTGTCATTGATTGAAATTGAAGATTTCTCTGGATGCGAGACAGAAAGTTTTTGTTGGTCTTTTTTTGCATACGCCGACCACTGATGCAACGCCTCTCCCCTCTCCCCCACTCTCATGTGTACCATCCCCACAGTTTCTACCTCCACTTTCTATTTCTCCCAGGCACGCTTCGCTCCAGCCATCGCTCCTAACCATGACAACTCGTGCTGAAACTTTCCAAGCTAAGAGGCAAAAGTCCTTTAAAGCACGCTTCTCCTTTCAGAAATATTTTTTTCTTGTCAGTGCTACTTTTTTCTGTCTTTATTTTCTCGGGAGGACCTGTAGTTTTTAAGGCCTTCCTTCGCCCCGAGAGAATTATTTTTCAGTTGTGGTAGCGCAGATGAGTTTTGGTTTATAGCAGCATTTAGAGCAGTGTTGGTTTGACTGCAAGGTCTTGTAAGTTAACTTTTTATGACTAGCCTCCCACTTTGTAGAAGATGCCTCATTGTTGTGAAAGATTATAAATGAGGAGCGGCCGCTTGGATTAAAATATCCCTTCATCTGCTTAATTGTATGTTTTGGGATTGTTCTTTTTTCAGGTCAGATAAAACTCTCCAAGATATTGTATACAAGCTAGTACCAGGCCTTTTCAAAAGTAAGTAGTTTTTTTCCTAAGAGCAGAAAAACCAAACCAGAGCTGCTATCCTGTATCAATACCAGGAGTTACAGAGCAAATACTAAAAGAAAAATATATGCTTTTCCATCTAGATGAAATGAAAAGAAGAAGGGATTTTTATGCTGCTCATCCGTCAGCTGATGGTAAAACTTCTCGTTCGCAACTTTAATAAATGTAGCATCGGCCTAGACGCTTTGCTGTTTCCTTTTTAACTTACAAGTTATGTGTTACTGTGACAGAATTTTAAGTAGTAAATTCAGCATTAAAAAAGTTTATTGTTTTAACAGTTAGGTAGCTTTAATTCATAATCTTACTATGGAGATTTTTTTTTTTTCTTGTTACTGAGAATTGCCATTCTTCCTGATTTGAATTTCAAAATGTAAATTATTGTGGAAATTTCTGCGCAGCTGCCAATGGCTCTAATGAAGACAGGGGAGAAGTGGCTGACGAAGACAAAAGAATTATAACAGACGACGAGATAATAAGCTTATCCATTGAATTCTTTGACCAGAATAGGCAAGTTCCAGAATGGCAATATTTTATGTTTACCTGACTGATAGCAGCTGTATTTATTATTTGTTGTAATTGTTTCATTTCTTCTCACAGACTGGAACGAAAAGGAAATAAGGAGAAAGAAAAATCAAAGGAAGAGGTAAATAACTTTCCTTTACTCCAGAGGAAACATAACACACACAAACATCTTTGGGGCGGGTTTGTAGCTGAGAAAAACACATAGGCATGTGTACCTAGCACAAAAGAAACACACCTCCCGTTATGGGGCTAGGTACAGAAGAGGTAGAACATCTTCATATGGCTGTATATGTAAGCAACTCTTTAAAATAAAAAAAATACCTTTGGTATTACTTTTAAAGCAGAATCTGATTTTTTGACAAATTCTGCAATAAATTTCTATTTTCATAAATTATTAATTAATAAAAAATTTAATATGCCATGCATGTATATCCTAAAAAGGCATTTAGTATGAGATACAAATCTTTATGTACAAAAATAGTTGCATTTTTTTATTACTTTCTCTGGAACTGTAATTTACCAC